AAACTCTTTATAGTCCGCAGCTGCAAAGCTAAATTTCTGAACACCAAACCTGGAATTTCATCGTACAAGTGATTGGATTAGAGTGAATGTAAATTCAATTCTCAACCGATCTGGGGGTGCCTTTTTCTGCAGGAATGCCAGGGCAGTCACAGAACTTGGGACAGGCAGGGAACAGATTATATTCCCTAAAGCCCACAGAAAGCTCAGCCCAGCCCAGTTTCAGACTCTGCCCCCAGAACTGTGAAAGAATAAACTGTTGTGTCAGGCTACCCACTTTGTGGTACGTGGTTATGGCAGTCCTCAGAAATTAATGCATTAACACAAAAACCTAATAACCCAATCGAAATGTTAAAAGCAACCACATTTCTGAACACCTACAGAATCCTTTTCAGCACTGTTACAGTAAAACAGAGCACATCACAAGTGGAATTATCCCAGGAATGTTTGGGTGGTTAGAAGTTAGAAAGACAAATATCTTACATCAAATCCTGTAGAACTATCTTTTGTGTATGCCATGCATTATTCATGTGATTAAAGCTCATTTAAGTTTTTTAAGTTGAGAATTGTCAATACATATACATGTTGTACTTGTGGCAATTACATTACTGACATATACTCTATCAAAAATAATATTAATTTACTAAATTTGACAATACAAATCACTGCATTCTTTAAGTATGAGTTGATGTGGTAGATTGTGTTTATAAATTACAGAGCTTGAACCACAACTAAACTTGTCTAGGAAAATAAACCCAAGGTAAATTCTATAAAAATGAAAAAAACATTTGATAGTGTTCCTGGAATATTTCTTCCTAAACATAAATATTATATTAGTAATCAACAGAATACCTTTGTTTCATGCATACCTACTTCTAATATTAAACAACTAAATTGATAATCCAGACTTACAGATTATCAAAAATAGAAAGTTGAAATAGTTTCACAATTTTGTTAAATTAAATAAACTATATTTAAATTACAAACCTCCATCCACCACACCAAATATCTAGGTGAGGCAAAATTTATGGAATAGATAATCAGTGAGCAAATTAACAAAGACTTATTTTTCAAAGTCTGCAGATAGCTCTAGATGGAAGAACTCTTTCCTAATTTTTTTTCTTTAGCTTGAGTATTTTAATCACTGTTCAATGTTTTCAGAATACAGCAAGAAAGACCTCTAAAAGCATGGACAGTTGACATTTTAATATATAATTGGAAAAAATCATTTTCTTATTCTCATGAACAATGTCTGGTTATATAAGCCCTTTATCAAGTTCATACAATGCCTCATGTTTATGGAGTTATTCTGTATTGGTTTTTGTTTTATTTTGTTTTAAGGCAGCAGAAATGGATGTTTTGTGTTTTAAAAATGTCAGCCAGATATTTCATGTTTTTGCTTTCTGTGGTAACTCAATAGCCTGGGCAAATTTTCTTTCTTTTGATCATGTTCCCTCCAGTATCTTCTTATCAAAGCCAGGCTTTAGGTAATAGATTTCACCATTCCTGGTATACTGTTTTTGATATACTATTTCTATGTAAAAAAAAAAAAAAAAATCTGGTAACTATGGAAAGTACAACCCACCGGCAGAGTTTTAAATAGTTTCCCAGGAACAAATGATTAGTAGGCAATTACTGGAAGATATATTTAAAATGTGTGGGTGATGAGTATTTGGAGTAGGTAAAAGAATAATTATAATCCTAATCCAATATCTATGCACTATTGTTGTTTTAATGCAAAACAAAGAATTAACACACTTTATACATAATACTACAATCCCCACTTAGCACCGCCAGATTTTCTATATAAAGGTTGTTAAAATATTTCCGTTTGCATTAATTTATTTGCTTCTAAATCCCTGTCTCATTCTTAAATAATATTCTCATTCCTTAGTGGTTCTAGCTGGATCCCTATCCATCCATCTGCCAGTCGCAGCAAATAACTCCTACAAAATGAGTATCCTTGCCTTGAGGCAGTTAAATATATATTAGAGAATCATAAGCATGAAACCATGTGCCCATATAAACAGCCTGTACCTTAGCAGTAGGTAGGCTAGTGTTAAGATAAATGAAATAGAGGTTGCCAAGGGACCTGCTAAAAACAAACCAATAGATGCCTGTCATATCAAATTCACAACTTGGTAATAATATCCGATAGTGTAGAGGTGGCCAAAATTACCTTTACAAATTTCATTGAGAGTCAGAAAGATGCAAAAGCCTACAACATGAATAAATAAAGATGACTCTTTTAAAATCCTGTATTTTAGCGGAAAAGAGATATTAAGCATCTCCAGTAAACAAATCCTATGGGCTTTGTCCTGTTTTACTTTTAGTCTTATGTCTCAAACACTGAAGCTCAAAGACAAGAGCCTTAATCATTGTAGTTTACCAGATGTAGCAGGTTGACTATAAAATATTCCATTGATTTAAACATATTTAAAATCTGCTAAGGGTGTTGCTTCCCATGAACAGATACCTAGATTCTGATATCCCATGCTTCTCTGTGCCCAGCAGGGATCGTATCCACCTACCCAATCCCTGATAGGTGATAGATGTGCACCATTTCTAGGATAGACTATTTAGATTGAATGAGATGTACCGAATTAGTGAAAGACAAATTCTAATTTACTAATAATGTTAAGGAGAAAGGGGTCAAGGAAGGATAAAGGGCAATTTATTTGTAACTTAAATTCCCTCAGAAGGAAATGACCCCCATCTGGTGGATTCATAAACTGTAGAACCAATTAATGTTTCTTTTAAATATGTACATCTAGGAGTGTCTGGGTGGCTCAGTTGGTTAAGCGCCCAACTTTGGCTTACATCATGATCTCACAGTTCATGAGTTCAGACCCCTTGTCAGGCTCATGCTGACAACTCAGAGCCTGGAGCCTGCTTCCAAGTTTGTGTCTACCTCTCTCTCTGCCTTTACCCCCACACTTAAAAATAAATAAAAGATTTAAAAAACCAAAACAACATATAAATCTAAAATATAAAATATTTTATCATATATACATGTATTTATATGATATATTGCCTACTTTTAAAAATTTGAGTATTTAAGATTTTTTACATTTTTATTTTGTCTTATAAAAACTTGTAAACTATTGCAATGACCCAGTTTCATCCATGTCCCTGAGATGTATGACAGGTTCTAGGTTCTTAGTATCTTATTTGGTAATTAAATGGTTGTTTTTCCTTCTATGTATCTTCAGTCTCTTGGAAGGCCAATATTCCAAGGCAATTCAGAAGAGATAAAGGAAATAATCATCAGTAGGACTGATCATTCTGTTTATAAAAATCTCTTTAAGGACACTCTTTCTAATCAGCTTCTCCTTGGCCCTTAGACTAAAAGAAACTATCTGAGTTCCCCCAGAGGAGATAATCATTCTTATATACTGCCCGGAAGGAAGACTGCAAGACTGAAGCACCCTAGTGTAAAATCAGTGGCAGAAATAGGGGGAAAACATTCTCTGTTTCTTCTCACAGGTATTAATCAGGTAGACTAGCATCAGTAGATACTTCACCAGGCTCTATCATGGCTGACCTCTGCATCCTTTGCGCTAACATTACCCTGAAAACTTTTGACACTGTTAATCCTAAACCTGGGCTCATTTTAGGTCATAGAGTCTATTACATCCATCAAGGCTAACACATTGCATTCAGTTAGGTGAAAAAATATTTCTTCTTAGAAACAATACATAGCTGCTTATAGGTTCTCCCATATCTGATTTTGTATCATTATTATTTTCATAATACTAGTATGCCTGAGGCATTAAATATACAGTGATATAAATGTCTATTTACTATTTTATGTCCCAAGTTAGACCATATATTCCTTGGAGCAAATTCATCATTGTAAGTAAATTAATGACTCCTGACCTATATTATTAATAGAAGAAAAAAAAAATATATATATATATATCAGATGATTTTAAAATAAAAGACAAAAAACCCTAAAAAGATGATGAGAAAGTATTGATGTGGACCCAAAACTAAAAAAAACAAATGGTATAAACAACAACAACAACAAAAGGTTATTATTTTGGGCACCAGGATGGTTCAGTCGATTGACCATCAGACTCTTGATTTTGGCTCAGGTCATGATCTCAATGTTTAGAGAGTTCAAGCCCCACATTGTGCTCTGCAGGCTGACCTCTCAGAGGTTGCTTGGGATTTTCTCTCTCTCTCTCTCTCTCTCTCTCTCTCTCTCTCTCCCCTCTTCCTTCTCCTCCTCCTTCCCTGTTCATGCTCTCTCTCAAAATAAATAAACTTAAGAAAAAAGATTATAATTTAAAAAAGCAGATCAAAACATAAAAATATATCGAAGTAAATGAACACAAAGCAAATATATGAAATGGTAATAGCATCAAAATAGAAAAAAATAAGTTAAACAATAAAAATAAGATTCAAAAGTTTGTGTAAAATATCTTAAGAAGATTCAAAGGAAATATTGTTAAACTGAAAACTTAAAAATTATCAGATTGTAAGATAAAAGACCAAGTTTAAAACCACCAAGGTGAAAGTCAGATGATGATAGATAAAAATAAATAATAAAACATAAATTGTTTAAATGCAAAACAGAACTCTATTTTATAAAGTCAAAAAATTAGTAATACATATTTTTAAGATGGCTAATGCAGACTGAAGAGAAGAAGAGAGAAGTTACTAGAGGCTAAGAATGGGAGTCTCCAAAAAGACAGTATTTGTTTGCCTTTGGGAAATGTGGTTTTGTTCCTAGTTAATATCCTATTTATAGCTGTGAAAAATTACAGTGGATTCAGACTTGGGCTTTCATGATTTTTGTTTTTAATGTTGTTGTGAAGACAAACTTCATAGTCTGCTGATAAATGGAAAGAGATTGACTTAAATCTATCCATGTTTGTTTTAAAGAATGGGGGGAAAGTGCTTGTTTGAAATGGCATGGCTCTCATAATATTTGAAATCTTATTTATATATGTATGTATATATATATATATATATTTTTTTTTTTTTTTTCCCAACAGCCACTGAACTATGAGAAAAAGAAGTCATATACTCTCACCATAGAGGGAGCAAATACACACCTTGATTTTCGCTTTTCTCACTTGGGTCCTTTCAAAGATGCTACCATGCTGAAGATCATTGTTGGGGATGTAGATGAACCACCACTGTTTTCCATGCCTTCTTACGTCATGGAAGTCTATGAAAATGCCAAGATTGGGACTGTTGTTGGCACAGTTTTGGCACAAGATCCCGACACTGCTAATAGCTTAGTAAGGTATGATATGTTTTAATCTTTAGACACATAAAGATTTTTATTGCCTCTTGCAGTAATGTTAAATGAATAAAATAAAATGTGAAATATTTTATTTCCATTCTATTTTTGATTAAGATAATTAAATTATAATTAATTGATTCTTTGAGTAGTGTATCAGATGGCTTTCTGTCAAATTTAGAATGCATGTAGCTAATCAGTTTGAGTTCAGTTAACCCGTGAACAACATGGCCTTGAACTGCAGAGGTCCACTTGTCCGTGGATTTTTTTTAAATAATAATACTGCAAATGTATTTTCTCTTCCTTATGATTTTCCTTTTTTGTTTGTTTTTTAGTTTATTTATTTATTTTGAGGGGGGACGGGCCACAAGAGGGAGAGACAGAATCCTAAGCATCTAACAGTGTAGAGCCCAATATGGGGCTTGAACTCATGAACTGTGAGGTCATGACCTGAGTCAAGATCAAGAGTTGGACGCTTGGGGCACCTGGGTGGCTCAGTCGGTTGGGCGTCCAACTTCCACTCAGGTCATGATCTCATGGTTTGTGGGTTCGAGCCCTATGTCGGGCTTTGTGCTGACAGCCAGCTCAGAGCCTGGAGCCTGTTTCAGATTCTGTGTCTCTCTCTCTCTCTGACCCTCCCCTGATCACACTGTCTCTCTCCCAATCTCTCTCTCTCTCTCTCAGAAATAAATAAAAAACATTAAAAAAAATTTTTAAAAAGAGTTGGATGCTTAACCAACAGCCACTCAGGTGTCCCATTCCTTGTGATTTTCATAATAATAATTTCTTTTCCCTAGTTACTTTATTGTAAGAATGCAGTATCTAATACATATAATATATGAAATATGCATTAATTGACTATGTTATTGATAAGGTTTTCAGTCAACAGTAGGCTTAGTAATTACGTTTTTGGGGAGTCAAAAGTTATATGTGGATTTTCAACTGTGTGTGGGTAGAAGAGGTCAACGTCTCTAAATCCTGCATTTGTCAAGGGTCAGTTGTATATTGTTCACCAAACAGATTACATTTTCCATTTAACTTGATGGATGTGAGCATAATTGAATAGAAAAGCTATGTAGTATTGAACTACAAGCTAGAGAATCTTGTGTCTTGAGTGATGGTAAATACAGCTACAGGACAAAGCAAGGATTTGGGACTAATACTCATCTCTGACTCCTGGTTCTGTCACAAGAGTTGTGGGTGTATAGGAAATGTTCTACCCTTATCTGTAAAACAAGAAAATTAACATCTATATGTTGGAATTATTGTAAGAATGCATGAAGCAATGTGCATGAAATGCTAAACAGTCACACCTAACAGTCACTCAAAAACTGCTAATTTGTCTAAGGCAGCATAGAGTACTACTTAGAGAAGTACTTCTATTTTTATTAATGTTTGAATTAGAGAGAGAGGGGGAGAGAGAGAAAGAGAGAATGTGTGTGTGTTTGTGTGTGTGTGCGTGTGTCCCCAAGCAGGGGAGGGGCAGAGAGAAAGGGAGACAGAATCTAAAGCAAGCTCCAGGCTCTGAGCTGTCAGTACAGAGCCTGACACAGGGCTTAAATCCATGGAGGGCAAGATCATGCATGACCTGAGTCAAAGTCAGACATTCAACTGACTGAGTCACCTAGGTGCCCTGAGAAGTACTTACTTCCTGAAGACAGATAGACCAGGGTGAGAATTCTGGCATCTTGATTTACTAGCTATGTGATCTTCTAGTCATTGAACCTTGCTGAGTCTCAAATATATGAGCAAAGAATAATAATGTTGTATAAATATGTGATAGAATTAAGTGAAATTGATATAAAATACTTAGCACAGTCAGGAAGACCTCACTAAATAATATTTTTTTATTGTAGGATGTCATGCAGTAGTGATCATTAAAGCTTTTCTTACATGATCAAGAAAATATTTTTTCTTTTTTCTTTTCTTTCTTACCACAAGTGTGATAAATGCAAGAGGTTATATACAAGTAACATCAAGTACCTCTTATTTATACCTTGGATAATCCTAAAACCCTAGAGAGCTTGATATCTTTAACAAATCTGTCTACTTTCTCCCATCAAGTCCTTATTCTCAGACTCTTTATTTATTATCTTTTTGAACAAAAGCTATGATGGTAAGTGTTCTCCTTGATATGTATGTATTGCTTATAAAGGGTTTCAATTTCCTTTTACATAAGCATTATTACTTCAGTTTAAAAAGAAATGCCCACAGCACCGAAGCACGGAAAGAAACAATTTTCTGTGCACTAATTTATATATTTAACACTCCTCTTCCCTCTGTGAGTACAGAAATAATACCTTGTCCATAGATAGCCCCTCTGTCACACTGACAGCAAGAGCTGGGCATTGCTTGAAGTTGCAGGATAGGCAAAGTATATAAAATAATATGCATAAACCTAATTATAGTCATTACTATCTAACAGATGAAAATATAAGTCAAATTGTTTTGTTGTCAAATGAGACGGAAGCTCACTCTGCCTTGTCATTCCATAGAATCCCATATTACAAAAACGTTTTTGGACACTTAAATAATAAGTAAAATTGTTATAAGTATTAAAATGTTTTTGGACACTTAAATAATAAGTAAAATTATTATAATTATTAAAAACTTATAGCATTATAAAAGATATTTATAAATGTGGCCATCTTTTACCAATAGAAGACAACACACTTTGAGAATGACATATTTCATGCTCTTAGTTTGATGTGAAAATATTTGGTAAACAAATGGTAAAAGTTTCTTATGAAAATTAGATATTAATGCTGTATTCTGTAATTTACATTTACACGATAATCAAATTGTCAAAATGTTATGAGGAGTAGAATGTATGTTCAAAAAGGTAAACAAAAGGGAGGAGAAAATTGAGGTCAGAGACAAACTTCTCTCAGTGCTGTTCTTCATGTCCCAAGGTACACACACACAAAACCACTCATCCAATATAGAACAGTGGTTCACATCCAAGGACAATGCACACACACACACACATCAGGTGGTATTTGGCAACATCTCAAGACCTGCTTGGATGTCACAGCTGGGGTATGAATACTATCATCTGTCAGTAGAGGTCAGAGACGCTGTTGGAACATCCTACAATTCACAAGGGGGTCCCCACCAGAGAGGAGTTGCTGTTTCAAAATATAAATAATTCTGAAGATGCGCAACCCTGACATAGAGTAAGCCAAACTGGCTTGCGAATTGGTAAAACTGTAGAGCTAATTGGGACGCCTGGGTGGTTCAGTTGGTTAAGCATCCAACTTCTGCTCAGGTCATGATTTTGCAGTTTATGGGTTTGAGCCCCACTTTGGGCTCTCTGCTGACAGCTCAGAGCCTGTAGCCTGCTTTGGATTCTGTGTCTCCCTCTCTCTCTCTGCCCCTAATCTGCTCACACTCTATTTCTCTCTTTTTCTCTCAAAAAATAAGTAAATGTTTTTCTTTTTTAATGGAGGACTAAAGAGGCACCTGGGTGTTTTAGTCAATTAAGTGTCCAACTTTGGCTCAGGTAATGATCTTGCAGTTCGTGAGTTCAAGCCCTGCGTCAGGCTCTATGCTGACAGCTGAGAGTCAGGAGCTGCTTTGGATTCTGTGTCTCCTTCTCTCTCTGCCCCTCCTTGGCCCTTGCTCTGTCTCTGTCTCTCTGTCTCTCTCAAAAAAGAATAAATGTTAAAAAATTTTTAAAGTGGCACCTGGGTGGCTCAGTCAGTTAAGTGTCCAACTTTGGCTCAGGTCATGATCTCAAGTCTTGTGGGTTTGAGCCCCACGTTGGCCTAAGTGCTGGCTGCTCAAAGCCTGCAACCTGCTTCAGATTCTGTCTCCCTCTCTCTCAGCCCCTCCCCCACTTGTGCTCTCTCTGTCTCTAAAAATAAATAAATAAACATTAAAACAAATTTTTAATTAAAAAAATTAAAATGTTGGGCTAATTATACTAATGGAAAGAAATTCTGAAAAGATTTCTTTCAGGACTCCAAACCAGTATGTATGCTTTACATACATGCATAGTCATGTGGATGTTTCAACATGTACATTTTATTAAAAATATATTATGTACATATAATTAATTGCACCATGATATTATTGATTGCCTCAGTAATTGCACCATATTATTAGAAGCTTTTAATTGAACACTTGGTATGTTAGATATATTCTCCCACTCTCTGGGATGCACAGGTGATTGGTATATTGTTTCCAAATACAAATATTGAGATGTAGAAAACCATTAACATATGCATTATTCTTTTTGCTTTGTTTTGGTTAGAAAACTAAAATGTATCCTCCCAAAGCTGCCTTAAAATAATTCCACTCATAGCTGCTGTTTGGGGGCATAATTTACATAGTATTTATTCTTTATTTTAATAAAAATGTGTCATTCACATGGGCCTCTAGGTATAAACAGTGAATAAAAAACAGAAAACATTAACAAACACAAAAGCAAGCCACACTTCCACCTTTCTGAGGGACCAAATGTTTGTATTAATTAAGGAAACGTACTTTGAAAAGATGTATCTTGCAATGTGCCCTGTAGTGCAATTAATTCCAAGTTTATAGAATTGATAATGAAAGGAAGTGTGAGTCTTATAGGCATTTGTGAAAACTTTCTGACTTGTTTTTGTGTTTCAGTTTTCTAAACTATTAGTAAGATTCTTCAGATTTCTAAGAGCATACCATGTATAGCTTTTGTCTCTGTTAACTCAAAACAAGAATGTGCAATTTGCAGCAATATTTACTATCACCTTTTTAAAAAAATCAGGACCAGGCTATTTACTAGCAACAGAAACACCCTTGATTTAAATAGACTATATTCATTCCCCAGTGTATTACAAATGGAATTTGGGAATTTCCTGAATAGCTACTGAGAGATGAATAATCCTATGTTGGACATGAAAAGTGAGAGAGCTTTCTAGAAATGTGACCTTATATCATGTGACCTTTTAATGGCACATTAAAATAGTGACTGTTCTTTGCTTGCTATCTGTGGGCCAGGGGCTTTATATAGCATGCTAAAC